AATATTATAACTATAATATTTTCATAATAATATAACATTGGCATGTAAAATCTTTTGACATGGTATCAAGAATCAATAAAAGTTAAAATCTTAAATAAAAAATAAAAATTAAAGTCTTAACAGACGATATTAATTAAGAATCAAAACAATATCAAAATGATATTAAATTACAAAATATCCTTCTTCCTAACATGCCATGCCCACTGTGGCATCTATAAGAGCTACTCCCATGGTGAAAAAGACAGTTAATTGCGAAAAACAAAAAGTTTTTTTATCTAATTTGTTTATTCTTAAAAGTCAGAGACTATCTATCTAATTTACCCACCACCTTTCCTTCACGGTTTCACTTTCACTACTCAAAGTGGAAGAACGTTACATTCCATTACTGTATTACAGATCCTCCGACCCCTTGAATCAAATCCTAAATGGTGGTGAATCTCTGAAATCTGAATCTTACCCATGACCACCTCGCCTTCCTTCTCCTCTTCCTCAGCTGCTACTTCTGCTTCCTCAACTTCTTGGTTTTCCGGCATTGTCCGAGGCCGCTCTGACCGCTCCTCCAGTGTCAAGATGTCGAACAGCTCTGTCTCCGGCATGGGAGCCGCGGATTTTGGAGGACCCATCAAGGGCAAGAACCAGTTCCGTGGGTTGCTGTTCAAATACGGGTCAAAACCCATTCAGGTTGTCCTCAAAGCTGCAAATCTGTGATTTTGATTTATTGTATCTTTAAATTTAACTTTCTTTTGTTGCTTAAAATTGGGTTTGCAATAGATGTGTACCTTTCAATTTTGAGCTAAATGGTACCATTTGTTATGAGATTCTTCTTAGTTGGCAGACTTCAATTTAATTCCTTTGTGGCTGTCAATGAACCTAATAGATTTTGATTTAATGTGTGGATGTCTTAGTGGTGAAACTAGGAGGATTTTGAATTTTGTATCTGTTAGCTTAGCTGATAATGGAATTCAAAATGCTGGTGTTTGAAGCTGAATTCTAATGCTGGGTGGTTTTTGGTTTGACTCCTTTGTAGCTTTAAA